CCTCCGCTCGCACCCTCTGGAGGTCGATGTGGACCGAGCCCACGCCGGTTATCCTCGCCCAGAGGGTGGGCGACGCACTCAGGACCACGTTGGCCACGTGCGGGTTCCTAGCCCTTCTGCGATACCTTACCTCGAGTCGGTCATCCCCAGGGCCGAGGCCGTCAAAGAGGTCCCGATTCTGATTCCTTAGGGCCTTTAAAATGTCACCATCGGTGTTGATTGTTAGGACACCTCTAAGGATCAGAAGCGGGTCTCTATTTTTGACGTCCTTGACGTTGAGGCCCGACCCTTCCTTCGCCAATCTCTCCTTGGCCTTTCTCCGGTCCTCGGCAGTGCTAAAGCCCATGACGACCTTGCGGTCTTTGGCCTTCCGGACCCGGTCGACCTTAACCCATCCCTCCTTCGCGTTTAGGGTTTTCCTCACCTTTCCAAGGACCTCCTCTCCTGTGTCCTCTTCGTCCCTGGAGGTGACAACCATTGAGTGGAGAGCCGCGGGTCTCGCTGGCTGCTGCGGCCTCACAGGCCGACCTGCTGCACCTAGTGAGCTGCTCTTGGAGAGCCTTCATCCGCTCATTACTCTCCAGGAGAAGCCGAGAGTGCTCGTCGAGTTTGGTGCTCAGTCCGGAGTCCGAGGGCACCGTAAATGTGGTGTCGGCGTCCTTAGTCGTCGACACCCCCTTCACGGAGCCCCCGGCACCCTTACGAGCCCTCTCGGCTTTCAGGTCGGCTGCGGACTCAATAATCAGTTTCTTAAGTTCGTCCAGGGACCCCAGGATGGTCTCTTTGATATCCCTCCTGAGGTTCCTGGACGAGTCCACTGCCTGTTTCGTCTTTAAATAATGGTGCTTGGCCCGCTGCAATCTGGTCTGCCCGGCGGTCGCCACTGGTGTGTGAACCAGCACTTCAACCCCCCCCTTCGGACTCTCAACCCGCTTTGGGGTCGGCGTCTTTTCCTTAGAGGTGGAGGGGGGCGCCCGGTCCAGCCGTATAAGCCGACTCGGGAGCCACCCCCACCCCCTTCGGACTCTCTACCCGCTCAGGGGGTTAACGTCTTGCGCTTAGAGGTGGATGGAGCGCCCGGTTCAGCCGTACAAGCCGACCCGGGAACCGCCCCCTCCCACTTCTCCATACTCTGTCTTGGCAGCTTTTTTCACGATCTTGAGGGGAGTTGAAGGTGGGTTCGCTTTTTCCGGCCGCTTGACCGGTGGTTAGGTTAGGTTAGGTTAGGTTAGGTTAGGTTAGGTTAGGTTAGGTTAGGTTAGGTTAGGTTAGGTTAGGTTAGGTTAGGTTAGGTTAGGTTAGGTTAGGGTAGGTTAGGTTAGGTTAGGTTTTTTTTTTTTTTTTTTGATACTACTACCACTATTCTGCGGTACTCTTTTTTGCTATTTCTTTTTATTTGTCCTCTTTTTTTATTAGTTCTGCATTGTTTTTTTTTTTTTTTTCCGCGCTTATTCTCTTATAAGTTTACACATCGTTACTTCACACAGCTCATATACTTTACATAACTTCTCATAACTTATAACGTATAACTGCTTTTAAAGCATGACTTTCTATCTCTTATTTATGTGACATTCAAATTTTCCAATGTTTTTATTTACATTTATAGAATAATTAATCGGCATTTCTACGTCTCAGGATAGTATGTGGATACAAATTACTAGTTACTTTCCTTATTAACTATTTTCTATTTACATGATATTTTCACAATACTATATTATTTTAAGCCTTGTATTATTACTTTTACATATTTGTATTTAGGAACTATATTCTTACACTGTTGCGAATTCACGCATAAAGTAAGATCTGCAATAGTCATCTACCATAATAAAACTGTTTCTTAGTCTATATCCATTCCCATACTGCGGTCGAACTCAGATAGTTTTTTTTTATCTATGCTTTTATCGCAAGTGCAGTAGGGGGACGGTGATACTGGCCTGTAGAGGTAAGTCTATTTCTTTCATGATCGGAATGAATAAGTAACCTAAACCTCAGTATAAGGCTTTGCTTCTACACTATCTAGTCCTATTTTTGTGACAATCCTTAAGAAAATCTGCTAGAATTTTTTTTTTCCTTCTTTTTTTTTTTCCTTACAACTTATTATTAAACTAATTTTATTATTTTCTATGCACTTAACACATTATTACTATTACATTACTGTATTTTAGTAACAGTTCGCACTTATAACTATAACTAGTCCTATTTTGGGGACTCTTGCAGAGCCTTAAATTTATTCTATTACAGTGCTCCCATTCTCTTTATTAATAACTTTTAATATTGAGAGAGCAAAGTGTATGAAGTGATATCTGCAATCGATGTCCCCCATAATAGTACTTAAGTTCTTACGTGCTATGTTCATTCCCATATTGCATTCACACTCATATCGTTTTTTTCCAAATCGCGGACAGTCTATAATTAAATGTTCTATTGTTTGTTCTGTGCTGTGATCGCATGTGCAATACGGGGATGGTGAAATCTTAAATCTAAAGAGATAGGCCTTATTGCCTCCGTAACCAGTGAACAATTGAGTTACAATATTTGTAATTTTTATATTTTTTAAAATCTTATAAGCTGTTACAACGTTTGGGAAGAAAGTTCTTATAGTTCCACTGGTTGCTGCTTCTTCATATCTGCTTTGCCATCTTCGTAGAGTGTTGCTCCTGGTGAGGTGTTTGGCGTAAGACAATGGGAATAAGTCATAGGTTGCCCTCTGTTTCTTGCTAGTAGCGGCGTATTTAGCCAACTCATCTGCTCTCTCGTTACCTAATAAACCACAATGAGCTTTTATCCAGTATATCTGGACTTTACCCTCTCTATTTTCAATGATATTTAGCTTCGATGAAATCTCAGCTGCAATAGGATTAAGTGACATAGGGTTACAAACACTTATTACTGCTGATTTCGAGTCACTAAGGATGTTGGCTTTTAAGTTTTTCTTTTCTAATATATACGTGACAGCCTTCAGAATAGCAATTAGCTCGGCTTGGTAAACGCTGCAGTAGCTTTCGAGCCTACAGGTAATGGTTTTGATTTCTGTTCCATTTTGCCATACCGAAATAGCCGCACCTACCTTATTATCTATTTTGCTGCCATCTGTGAAAAGTTTTGGCCATTCATTATCAATTTGGTCGATGTCTTCTTGGCACGTTATTAACTTGTACTCTCTCTTAGTTCTTAATGAGGGGTGTGGTAGGTGGAAAGGACTGATTCTCATCTCCAAATGTCTCCCCGGGAGTGACTCGATGGGCTTGCCTCTTTTTATTTCATATACTTCGGCGTTTTCTCTAGCTCGAAGCGCTAGAGGTATGATCTGAGCTAGTAGCGCACTGGAAACAAGAGAAATGGTTTTATGACCTTTGCAAATGCGAATGCTAAACATTCGTGTAAATCTATTATGCATTCGATTTATATGTTTTTTGTTTGTGGCTTCAGCCCAGCAGCTCGCGGCGTACAAAATTGTTGGTTCGACTACAGCCTGGTAGATAGTTCTTACTATGTCCGAGTTAAGACCCCATTGCGCTCTTGCTGCTCTTGATACTATCTTGTAGAGTCGAACCGCTTTACTGCAAATATAATCTAAATGTAGCTTAAAGGTAAGGTTTTTGTCAATTATTAATCCAAGAATTTTGAGTTGATCTGTATATGCTAAGGTTACTCCATGTATTAGTAGTTTGGGACAGTGAAATTTTAGTTTTTTGGTAATTATAGTGCTTTGAGTCTTATGTGGGGCAAATTTAAACTTGTGTTTTTGTCCCCACTCTAGTATTGTTTTAAGAGTATCATTAATATCTTTTTCGAGCTTTTGGCCATCTTTATTCGAAGCTATTATTAAAATGTCGTCTGCAAAGGCTTGTACATGGACTACTGAGTTTTCTGTTGCCTGGAGTAAGGGATCAAGTTGGATATTCCACAGCATGGGGCCGCAAGTTGATCCTTGAATGCATCCCTTACTGGTTTTTGTAGTGACTTTTTCATTGGCGTAGCTTAAGTTTATTGCATCGCGATCTGATAGGTAGCTTACTATGAGTTTTAGCATTGTAGGTTCAACTTGTTTGTTTCTTAGTTCAGTAATAATTGCAGGCCACCATGCATTGTCGAAAGCACCTTCGATGTCTAATGATATCAGTACAATTATCTCTTTCCTTCGAAGTCCTTCTTTTATCAGTGTTATAATGTCGTACAATGCGTCCTCGGTACTGCGTTGTGGTGTAAATCCGTATTGTCTCTGATTCATTTTTTCTTCGTTGCCTAACTGCCATTGAACTCTGTTCGTGAAAAGTTTTTCTAATATCTTTCCCAGTACTGGCAGAAGACCGATGGGGCGATATGATTTAGGATGAGTATAGTCATCTTTGTTCGATTTAGGTATCACTTTAATTGTCGCTTTTTTCCAGTTGTGAGGAAAGTAACCCAATGTAAGGCATTTATTGTAAAGAGAGACAAGAAGATCTGGCTTGCTTTTGTATGATTCTTGGCATATATCCGATGTAAGTCCATCTTCCCCTGGTGCTTTCTTTGGGTTCATGTTATTCAGTATGTGTTCTACTTCGACTTTTGTAAACGGTTGCGTGGTGTCAATCTGTTGGTTATTAATCTGAGTAATAAATTCTTTTACTTTCTCCCTTATTTCTGTCTGTTCTTCTGTGTCCGTGTTACTATTATCATCTGGGTAAAATGTTTTAGCTAGAAGAACTGCTGATTCTTTTGTCGATAAGAGTTCCCCATTTTGGTCCCTCAGTAGTTTGTCTTCCTCCCTGTTCGTGCAGACTTTTAAGATGCGATACGTTCGTTGCCAGATAGTTTCTTTTTCTTCCTTGGTACACAATTCCTTCCAGCTCTTTGTAGAAGCTCTTTCTATATTCCTTGTGTACTCCTCTTTGGCAATCAGGTATTGTTGTATGACGTGATTTTTCCGTTTTGGGTGTGCGTTCTTTATTCTTCTTCTGATTCTAATCATTTCGTCCTTTTTCTCTTTTAATTCGGCGTTCCACCATTTCGCTGCCTTAGGCATTTGCTTCCTTTTTTATTATTGGAATTATTTTATTACAGGCTTCTAAGATACACTCTGTATATTCAACTACAGTTTCGTCTAAAGCTATTGGTGTCTTTATCTCCTCTATGCTTTCTTTGGAGAGACCCTTCTTGTTTATCGCTTTCTCTAATTCTGTCCTAAATTTATTCCAGTCAGCACTCTTTGTGTTGAATTTTCTGGTGCTATTAATTATTATTTTCTGTGGGGTGCTTAGTATAGCGAGGTTAAAAAGGATGGGTTTATGATTAGAGATTGTGCAGAATGAATCATCTATTCTCCAGTTATTGATTTTGTGTAGCAGAGAGGACGTGCATAATGTAATGTCAATTATACTCGAACAGAGTGAACCCATTCTAAATGCGCTAAATGTAGGAAATTTGCCAATATTCAAGATCTCGAGATTAAGTTCTGCTATGGTTTCCATTAACAGAGTTCCCCTTTTGTCGTCCGCCTTGCATCCCCACCAGATGCTGCTAGCATTAGAGTCGCCTCCAATGATGACGTCTTCAGTGTTCATTGCTTCTTTGAATCGTTTGATTGTGCTTAAGTCTTCTTCGATAATACCTTTCTCATGTAAGTACATGCTGATTAAGCCTAGATTAGTATAACCTATATTGAGTTCTACTCCTACAATATCTTCAGTTAATAATTTAGGGTTAATAGTAAACTGAATGTTTGGATCTGTGATGACAATTGCGGATCTTACCGGTTTGGTTTTGTCGTTTGTGATCTTTTGTATGACGCGGTACTGTGATCCAACGGTTACATGTGATTTGGCTCCAACGTAAGGCTCCTGCATTAGTATCACTGAGTAGCCTTTCGTTGTTGCTGCACGTATGCATTCTAGAGTGGCCGCGCGTCCCCGATCAAGGTTATATTGTACTATTTTAATGACATTTTTATTGCCTGAAGGGCTTGTTGAAACTGTTTTATTGTATGTATCGTCTGATTCTTAGCAGTAAGAGACTGAACTTCTGGCTATCTTGTCCCATTTCTGCCACTCTGGGCATTCGGGGCTATATGCTGGATGTGTCACGTTTTCTTTGCCTAGGTTCCTGCAGTTGATACATACGGGAGCAGCATTTCGGTTTGTACATGTTCTAGTATCGTGGCCCCCTGAGCAGTAGCCGCAACCCTGTTCTTTTGTGCAGTCCTTTGATCTATGATTGTAGCCCAGACACCTGTAGCATTGAGTAAGTGGTGACTGATCAATGCAGGGAACCACCTGGTATCCGATGCGCAATTTTTGATCTTTTAACCGACTCCACATTTGCGGAGAGACCTCTAGTATGACGTTACTTAATTCACGGGTTCTGCCTTTTGTTCTGCGAAGTATTCTAAGTGATTTTTGTTCTTCGGGCAGGTCTATAATTAATTTAGAATTTTGCAATATAATTGCTTTGGCCAATTTCGTATCATTAAGGTCGTTCGTAACTCCAATCAGGCGTATTTGCGGGTGTTTCACTGGCGGCGTTGAAACTGTTAGTTTATTGCATGAATCCCGTATTGCTGTTTTTAGTACTTGTCTGTCCTCAGGGGAGTCACAGCGTATTACCACTCTCTGATTTCTTAATTTTGTTACTTTATTCACCCTTACACCAAGTTCTACAGCATCAACGTCTGATCTGACTTGCTTCATAATTTCGTCACACGTTGATCGCGGGTCTATGGACTCTATAATCATGGCATATCGAGGTGTTGCCGTTGCTTCTGCGTAGGTAGGTTTATAGGGCTGAATTGGTTTTATGTTTTCTGAGTGTGGTGTTATTTTTTCATTTTGTTCATCATTTCTGTGAATGTTTGCATATGTCCTGTTGTATTCTTGTTTAAGTTCTAAGATTTTTTCGTTAATGTCAGCAATTGCCAGTTCTGTACCCAATCCTGAGTTACCTTGAAGCACTGTTTGCGCAGTGCTGCATTCTTTTAATTCATTCACCTCGTCGTAAAGTATTTTTATCATATCGACAACAGGTTGTATCACCTTTTCTAGATCCTCCTTTTGGGTGTAGCCTGTTAATTCAGTTGTATCTGTCTTGTGATTTAGTGTTTGTAACATTTCTTTAATTTCTTTTTGGTTGTTTATTATAACATCAATACGGGGGTCCTCTGGCACTTTTAATTCTGTGTGGATGGGTTGTTGTGCCTCGCCTTGAGATTTGGCTAGCTCGTTTATTGAAAGGCACAGGCTTTGAAGCTGTTTTCCCATTTCCGTGACCGTCTTAGAAAGATGTGCCAGATTCTCAGAGCCCAGGTCAGAGTATGCTGTAGAAGTTATAGCAGGTAGTGGAGACTGGGATTTAGCTGCTAAACTACAGACTTCTACTTTAATTTTGCTTATAGCCTTCAATGGTTCGTCCATTTCGTAGCTTAGCCAATTTCTAATCGCGTCGACAGCTTTGCCTGTGGTCGCAATGGCCTCATATGTGGCCTTAAGCATGCCGTAATGTGTCGTCTGGATTTCTGCCATTTGTTTATTGTGGGCCCTTTCAATTCTGATTAGTTCCTTAGCTGCACGGGATTTTTCTTGCTCTAGGGCTAGCCGGTGACGAGAGCGAGAGTCCGATAACGACAGCACAGTCTCATAGAGTCCTTGTAGGGAGTCATGCACCTCACTTTTGCATTCGCGTTTCATGTTGCCCGCTTTTTCGAGGGCTTCCTTCCCGGAAAGCAAAAACTCATTGGCGCGTTGCGTGGCCAGGTCCATAGAAATACTTGCCCGCTTGTAAGCTGAAGGGAGTGTGCTCGACCTTCCACTCTTATTGCTACTGACGATGCTGTCGGCGTCAGACCAATCGTCGTCTGTTTCTCGAACCCGCTTGCATATGCCTAGTGCGTCCATTTCTCTTTCCATATCTCGCGTCAGCGAACTGTTGCCGTCGGATTCCTCTTCTTGTACTACCGAGCTAGGTTGCTTCGTCGGATCACTTTTATGCTCGTTGCACTTGCTGGTCTGTGTCGAGCTGGACGCATCAGTACATGGTTCGCTGACGATAAAACCTCTGGTGGGTTGAGCCTCTTCTGCCGTCTTGCCTGATGTAGATGCGTTTTGTATAAGAACTTTTTTACGCAGAGCAGAGCTGGGAGTTGGGCTGGCGGCTCTACTTGTCTTAGAGGGCCTTGATTTAGTAGACGCAGTGCCTGAGGTGACTGATTTGCTTGACATTTTTATGTCTCAATATGCAAATATTTCTAAAACTGCGACTTACAGGTCAACAGGTCTCTAGCTCTATGTAGAGTCGATTCCTCCTAAGCAGTTAAAAGCGCTCCCCGAGCCCCCCCCAAGGAACCCAAACTCGGTAGGCCTAGCCCAAAGGGTTCAGTAGTTATCGCCCTTTGAAATCTTGGTTACAAAGCACTATGGCTACCAGTTCTTTGGTTAAAACGTTGTATCTCCCGAACGCGTGGGCTTACAGCTCCGTGCCCGGGCTCGTCTAGGTGGGCTCGACCAGGGCTACAATGTGTTATGCTTTTCAGGACACACAAAATTCGGGCTCTGAAAATGCCTGAAAACCTATCAGTCCGTTTCTAAACTCCTTACTATTGTTTGGGTTCGAAATCCCAATCTTCTACGACCCTCCGTTCAGCAGATACAAGCCTTTAAAGTTTTTCAAAATGGCCGCTTAGATGTCAAAGTCGAATTTTGACTGCCGATAACTTTGTTTCTAGTAGTCGCAGAAGATCCGCGTTTCGACCATGCTCCTATACTTTATCTAATCCTTCCACTAAAGTCACTCTCAGAACACTAAAAAATATGGGCTCCAAAAAGCCTGAACCTCGGGGGTAGGTAGAACTCAATCCCGAAATGCAAGTATCAAAATCCGCAGGTTTCTGCGACGCCTGGGACCGAAGTTCTGGCAGTTTGAAGTTTTTCAAGATGGCCGCCCAGCTGTCAAAAGCTATCTTTAGAAGCCCGTAACTTTAAAACTAAAAGTCGTACGGAGACGGGGTTTGGAATATACAGCTTGGCTGGACCTAAATTGTGTCCTGAAAATGGTTTCAGGAGAAAAAAATTTCTGGCATCCAACACGCCTGAAAACTAATTATTATTATAAACTTTTTGTTCCTAAAGCCTATGTTTAAAATCCGAGGTTTCTACGACCAGGATCTTCGGAGATACAAGCAAATAAGAAATAAAACCAAAGAACCAAATTGTTGATTTTTTTCTAAAATCGCCAATTTTGGGACTTTTGATGTTGAGTTTGGGCTTAATTAAGTCGTCTTCTATATAATTAGACTATATTTAGTGTCAATTTTAATTTATTTCTATTTATTTACTAGTATTTGAATAAAAGTACATAAAATTTTATATCTTCGAAACCCGATGTCTCAAAAATCCAGAAAAAATTTGATAAATATGGAGAATATATACTTAATCTTATCCTGCACAAATTTTTTAAATTTATATACTATTTTATATAAAAATTTAAAGATAATATTTTTTAACAAAATTAGTTGTTTTATTAATGTTTGCAAGTAAATTTTAAAATTTAAACACGTTTATATAAAGTTTCGGTTAGCGCGCAAAAGATAGCAGTTGCAAAATTTTCGCGAACGCTATACAATCTGAGAAAATTGTGTCCGAATTTTCAATTTTGATAATGTAATAACTTAAAAAATATACAACATAAAAATCAACAGACTGTTTTGAAGCTCTCTTCTTATCTGATTCTTGGGTCTTGAAAATTTTCAGCCCGGTAGCTGCTTCCGTTCTTGATTTTCAGCACCACGTGGTACTTGTTTTTTTGAGGATTACTCCGAAATCCGTGGTCCAAAATTTTTTCTATTGCGCCCAAAAGCTGCAGATCATTAAGGCCCTGCTTGGTGCATTCGAATTTTGAGGGGGCACTCGTCGAAATCAAAAGATACTGACGTCTAAATGTTTATTTTTCAAAAACTAACCTCAAAAAAGGTAGTTTTCTTGTTCCTGTGCTTCACCAGGAAAAGTCCGGGTTGTTTTCTCAATTCAGGTGTATAGATTTTAGGTTTCCACACCTGCCGACACTTCACTTGTCCAAATCGGACCACAATAACCCACTATTTTGAATTTTTTTAATTTGGAGCACGTGCAAAAATGATGCGTTTACGAGCGCGGATCGATTGCAACTGGGTTAGGTTAGGTTAGGTTAGGTTAGGTTAG